CTCTCTCGACCATGAGATATTTTAAATCTATTGTATTCGCGTTTAGGATAATTTTGATGCTTATTTTCCTGATTGGAAAGTAAATTAGTGTGGGAAGTTTGATCCTATGAAGAAATATATTGGAGGCTATAACCCATTACCTGACCAGAGGATAAGGACCGGTCAGACCACATCAGTTCACCTCAACCAGGTTATTTTATCTCAGACCTATGAAATGGGCCAGCGGAAGTCATGGACATTGACTGATTTTAGTTTATAAAGGAAATAACATGATAATTGAAAATGGAGTGATTTGTGGATCGCTTTCCCCCAAGATCATCATTAACTTCTAGATTATTATTAGTGTTACCCCATGTTGGTAAGGAACCAAGACAAGCAGGCAGTTTCCTCTAGTTGGGTTCTGTTACGGTCTGCTTTAAAATGCAATACTGGATCGTATCAGAAAGTCACTAGACTCCAAGCTTTCCTACAAAATTACTCCAAGTCAATTTGTAAATAAAGTTCAAAATTCCCATTAACACAACATTTCCGTATCTAACGCCTCAATGAAATTCGTCCCACAAAAAATACTTACCGCATTCCCTACAAAGGTATGGTGCCTGTAAATCACTCCCCATGATAACCTTTTCACGTCTTTCCAGTTATTGTAGCTAAACAGATTCAGTGCTCCATCGCTTCAAATTTTATATTTTTCTAGTACTGCTACAGTTTAACTTATCATTGACTTACATCACAGCTCCCCCCACCTTCCTGTTAACCCTATCGTGTGAGGCAATTTAATAGTCTTGTATTGTGGCCTTCAGAAAGCATTTCTCTATTTTTCAAGATGAACGCAGGGCTCTGTTTTAGCAGTAATATCTGTTTCCTGCACATGCAATTAATCTTATTTCTTAGACTGCAACTATTAGTATAGCGACTTAGTCACTTGCTGCCCTCTACTGTCTCAGTTGGCTTTTGCATTTATTGCCTTTATTAGTAACTTTCTGAACAACCTTGTCTAGTGAGCACATCCTTGAAGTATCATGGCATTTCTTTGCCGCTTTCATCCCTTGTACTGTAATATAACTGCTTAACAAACACACACATAAATCTGTCGTATATCATTTTAAAGTCCTAGACAACTCAGCAATGGACCCCTATACACAGTTGGCTAACGATACCACGCTTTCCCCAGAGAGATGTACATCTTCTCCTGCATGCATGTGATGTTTGCAATAGAAATTGTCCCGGTTGTCAATTTATGGGATTACAGGTACTTTGCACTGCCTGTCTAGCCAGTGATTTACACCAGTTGTTTTAGACATCCATTTATTGCCCTCTCCACTTATATGCAAAATGTTATATATAATCAGGACACCTCCTTTAGATTTAATTAAAGCTATAACTGACCTGTACTTATCTAGAAACTCCTGTCCGCTACCCTTCCCAGTATCGTTTCCACTAGCACTGAGGCAGAAAATGGGCTCTTGTTCCAACCTGTTGACTATGTCCTGGGAATCACACCCTCTATCTCAGCTTCCTATCTCTGTTACAGAAAGCACAATCAATTATTTTTTCTTGTGAGTCACCGACCACAAGCATACTCCTACCTTTATTAGCAGAAGAGTTAGTGGCACCTTTATCTTCAATGATCACAGAAATACATTCGTTCTGGATGACAGAGAAGCTATTTCCTACCATCAAATCTCCTCTTTTAACCTTCCATTACTGAAAACTACCCACTTGTAACTGCTGCCAATCTGCTCCTTACTGGTGGAAACCTGTTTTCCTTCACTATCACCAACCACCTCGTATTCATTTCTATACTTATGCAAGTGAATTTTCAGTTTCTTATTTTCCTCTTTAAGAAGTAGAACCACCACCACCATCACCTTGAACTCAGACTCAAGCAAGCCATGGTGCACTATAATACTCCACGCTAATCTCCCTTAACAGCTCAGTTCAGTTATGACCTCTCGTGACTACTGACTTCAGAGAAATGACCGTATACAAACATTTTCCTGCCTTACTTTTTTCTTATCTTTTTGTCACTGCCACTTTTCCTGTGCTCTGTGTTTCAAATTTTGCTCAGTTGTTTTGAAGCGTCTAGTGTCTTGATTATTGGGAACAGCTGGCGTTTGACCGTTTGTTTTTCCCCCATTGAAGGAAAAGGCAACTGTGAACCCTCAGCAAATCATAATGCTTGTGGCCATAAAGGTTCTGAATCGGCAGTAGAATGAGTTCACAATATGGCGACGGGGTTTTATGTGTCAATGTAGGGCGGTTTCGAGTATCTTTCTATCGGGATTACATAATGAACATAGGTTTGCTGTTTACAATCTCTGAATTGGAAAATATAATAAGCATAGTTTTGTTACATACAGCTGCTGAATAAGGATGCATAAACAGTCTGTGTGGTTCGAAGTTGTAGTCTACCATTAAGTCAATACCGTTTTCTATGAACAAAGTTTCCATAATTTCTCAGACTGAGTCGCAATGACTTACTTATTCCATTGTAATAAAAACCCCTTGCTAGCTAGTATGGCTAATTCGTTTGAACTATAAAGTAAGGCATTCAGAATTTTCCTTAACATATTCTTGCGGTAAACTTCTCAGTCTGTTTTACCGTCTGCTATCCTTAGTTCCCATAAGCTGCCGAGGCTTAAATTAATCGACCCGAGGTACTATTTTGAGAAATTATGTGAGGGAATCTTCATAAACAGCATCTTGAATTAACCTTTCACCCACATAACTGGGGAGAACTCTTGACACGTCTAAAACAGTATGTACTTACTGATAGTGATGTACCTTGGGCCACTAGGTCACAACAATGTCTCTCCTTAATGCTCACCGTCTCAGCTTCGCAACTCGCTTCCGGTCCTTAGATTAAGAGCATATGGTTCATGAGTATTATGAAAATTTAAGCCAGTAACACTCGCAATATTTGCTATGGATTGGAACAGTTATAAAAGAAACTGTGACTTGACATGAGTATATTTGTTACTACTACAAATTTCATATTAAACACATAACCGAACACCTGCCTAACAGGAGGGCAACTAATATTGACTAATGAGTAGCTACCTTACCTGTTGTGTGAGGTTTAATACACACTGGGAGGTAAACACACATTATTGCAGTGCAAGCGGTGATACAATTCCTCGTCTTGTTTACTACCTCATCTCGTTTTTCACCATTATCAGCTTTATTTTGATGAATTCATTATATGTCTGTGCACTTCGAGATGCACTTTCTCTTCCTTTATCCCTTCGTTACAAGATTCGGTCGATAATATTTTTATGGGCACCGATGTTCCGCGATTAATTGCACCACTAATTAGTACAATATCGACATTACGACGCCGTATTCCTCTTCCCTGCTACCCACGTCAGCAAACGTTAATTTTTTGCGCATATAAACATTCAGTGACATTTATAGGCGATGTAATAACATTGTTTCTTTATCATAAAATTGCTTTTCCAGCATTAAAAAATTACATTTTCCTAATTAGAATGGGGATTAGACGCATAAATAAGTAAAATTATAGGGATGTCGGTACCCTTGTGGCTTATCACCTTTTTAAAAGTCACATCAACAACCACATACCTGCATTATTATCATAATAACTTTCCTATCAATTAACACAATCGCAGAAAAATAATCAAATTTTCCACAGTATTAAATTATTAGAATACATTAACCGGTAATGAACAGGTCATTAAACAAATGCTTTTAAATAAAATAAGTCATTTGGATATGACTGAAGTGTTATATTGCATACACAAAATAAATAGAAATTCCCCGAACATAATGGTCTTCTTCTAGCAGTTGGTGAAGACAAAAACATGTTGATTATTTTTCCTTTTAATTCAAATGTAAACACAAAAACGTGGACCGTTAATAATACAATGTTAAATAACGTAACTTTGTAATAGCACGTTAGTGCAGTTTTGGTGAGGGTTGTGACTTAGCTGTTATTATCCATGTTCCTTCATTTCCCTCGACAACCGTTCTTCCCGGATTAGAGAACACGTGTTGCACGCTCTAGAGCTCTTTCTGCCAGTGATCAGCATTCCAAATGCAATTATCTTCTTGATTACTACTGCGATTTCACACTCCATTCCCTTTTATTGCACTACTACTGAAGACGCATTTGTCATTACAATGCAAAAGGCCTCGAAGAACTTTTCTCACTTCCCGTTTTAGTTGTTGTGCATTATCACAAACACATACACAGAGAAGTGTACATCTCAATGTAAGTCCACAGTTGTGTATCACTGAGAATGGTAATACACTGAATATTAATTATGCTGAGTTAGTAAATCAAGAGTTTATAAATTGAGAGTCTACTAGTGGATTTTGACTATGCTCACCTTCGATAAGTTTTAAACATAGCAGAAGTCGACGGTCTGATAAGGAAACACTGGAAATAAAAAAAAGGAGAGAATTTTAGGTGTTTATAGAGATTAAATTGCACTTCTGAACCAAAGATGGTTTAGAAAAAAAAAACAAAACGTTACAGACCGGGCCGTCGGGGGGCGTATGACCCCCGCACTCTCTCCATGTAAACTCCAGGTAAACATGTCAAATAAATAAACTATAATTGAAATATAGGATACTGGGGCAGGATAAACCTTCATGATGTCACTTAAACGTTTGTTTTTCACAAATTAAACAGTTAATAAAAAATATGCGAAGAATTAGACTGAGTTATAGTTTATATTATGTATATGTTAGCAAGATACGAAATCGTTAATGACACTATTGCAAAACAAACCATACACACGCGACGGTTGTCCCCATGGAGTTCTGAGACTCTCTGATCGCGGGTTCTATCCCCGCCCGTGGTATGGTTAGTCTAATCTACTAGGATTTATTTCGATCAAAATAAAATTAATTATTATTTAAACATTATGCATAAAAGTATCACATGATGTCCCTGGTATGTAACTTTGCTGTGACCGAATTATAAGCCAGGCTTTTTATTTTAAGCTTCTTAATGATTGTAGTAACTCTGGCAGGAACCCGACACCAGATGACAGCCTGGGCTTCAGATGGGACCCCGTCAATGAGAGTGACTTCCGCCACCTGTCTCTCAGACCTTCACCCACTATGCAAGATGACTACAGGCAGCAGGTATAAATATACGTACACACACACACACACATACACACACACACACATACATACACCATACACAAACACACATACCACACACACACAAACAACACACACACACACAACACACACACACACACCACACACACACACACAACACACACACACACACACACCTCACACTCACTTGCTGTGTTCGACCCCCTGAACTACACCATGTCATACCGCCAGAATCTGTGAGTCAATGGCTTTTTTTAAAAAGACTGAGAAGTGAGGTTCTTAATGACTGGCCGGGCAATTCCCCGGACTTAAACCCTACTGAGACCTCCTGGTCAATAGTGAAATGAATTTACTCTTGGCAAGGATATGCAGTTCATCCCACGGACTGGAGGATGTCTATACATGAGGCATGTATAATATACCTCCCAAAACCTCAAGAAAAGTCTTCCCTCACGGCTGAGGGACGTGATTAAGAGTAGAGGACCTCAGTAAGAGTGTGCAAATATATATATATATATATAAATATATATTATGATATATAGTAAAGTATAATATATATATAAAATATTATATATAATATATTATATATTATATTTATATTTATATATATTATAATTATATATTATTTTATATATATATATGATTATATAGATATATATAAGTATAGGGTATATTATAGATATTTACATATATATATATATTATATTTATATAATATATATATAAATATATATATATATATATAAATATTTATAAATATATATAATATTAATAATATTTAATATATATATATGTATATATATATAAGTTATATATTATTATAATATTTATATATATCTATATAAAATATATATGATATATATATATATGTTATAAATATATCTATATATGTATATAAATTTAAATATATATATATAGTATATAATATATATGCGTGATGTTATGAATGGAAAAGAAGTTGGATGTCCTGGCTCCTGAAGCGAAACAAAGCTGAAGGGGGTAGGAGAGTTTCAGTGGGGGGGAAATAAATGGGATTAAATCCCTTGGAGTATCTAGAGAGTTAGAGCAAAAGGAAGGGGTAGCAGTAATGTTAAAATGATCAGTTATGGAAGGAGAAAAGAGAATATGAATGTGTAAATTCAAGAATTATGTGATTAAATGTAAAGGTTGGATGCGAGAATTGGGTTCATAATAAGCTTGTATGCACCTGGAGAAGAGAGGAATGCAGAGAGAGGAGAGAGATTTTGGGAGTATGTTTAAGTGAATGTATGAGCCTTTGATCCAAGTGATGAGAGTAATTTGTGGTAGGGTACTTGAATGCTAAAGTAGGAGAAACTTTTAGAGAGGGTGTGGTATGTAAGTTGGGGTGCCAGGTTGTAAAATATAATGGGAGCCCTTTGATTGAGCTTTGGTATAGAAAGGGTTTTAGGTTATAGGTAATACATATTTTTAAGAAAAAGAGGGATAAAATAAGTATACACGATATGATGTAGGCGGCGAATTACACCCTCTGTGGGACTCCGCTAGAACGTAGGAAGACCTCAAACTGCGGAACATCATTAACTACCTTGTGGACAAACTTTGCAAAAACATGGTAAGAAACGAGTTGATTAACATTCAAAGCCTCCTAAGATAAGCGCATTTTCATCAAGCCACGCAAAGTGCACATACTTGTACTAAAGAAATGTGTAATTAAGAGCTGGTCTAGTGGCTAACCGCGACGGGCTGGAGTTTTGAGACTTCTCTGACCGCGGGTTCAATCCCAGCCGGGTAGGCTTGTTTGCAATCGTGTCATTACGATTTCGGAGTCAGTTTAGTTTTTGTTAACTAGGGTTAGTTGACAAATGGTGATATTTCGACAGAAATATGACAAATATAATTATGAGCTTCAGAATTAAATTTTACGATGTCTTTTTTTCACACACATAAAGTTGACGTATAAATTATGTTAAGTTTGCTAAAAAACTAAGTTTGGTTGGAAAGGTAAAGCCATTGATGTGAAGATTTTCAGTAAAAAAACTTAGAAATATTGTAGAATGCCACTAGTGAACAATCCAACTCAAGAGTATTAAGTTCAAAATTCGACCAGGAAGAACTGCTACTTTGAAAAATTAGAGAGTTGTACTGATATAAAAAAAAAATGGCTAAAACCGTTAGAAAATATGTTTGCTAATCACAAACTAAAGTCAAAATCTCCATATGTCCTTCTGGAATGATAACGTTAAATAACAGGACCTTATATATGATTTCGTGATGAACACCTAAAACGTGACCTAATGCCGCAGCTGTTTAAATCGTTCAATAAATAGAATGCCTGAGCTTAGCATTATTTTGCTTTTTTACACAAAAATATATACCATATATGACCAAGTATTTAACGGTACTGTGTCCCTGGCTTGGTTGTCAACACTGTACTCGACATGCACGAGGTTCAACATCAAGCACGGTGGAAAACATTGGTTTCTGTTCACTCAAGCATTAAGTAGTACCTCTGGTGTGGGTCGCATCCTGGGCGACAAGATAAAAAACCCCAATGGAAATAAAACGACAATCCTCGATGTCACACAGATTTTTCTGGATGCTGACCCTCTCCCGATTACAAATTTGAACAAATGTTACAAAGATTCAATTTGAGTGCAGCTACCAGTTTACTCCAGTTATCCATTAAACACATTTCTCTTTTAAGCATCTTCTCATTTTATCGAAATGGATCTCTAAAATCTAGTGACAACTGGCCGAAAACTTGGAAAAATTGATTTAATGCGAAACATGACGTTTATTCATATTAACATCCCCGATGGTTAACAACACAAGTATGCAAACCAGAGTGCTTTATCTTTTTTGAAACCTTGACTCCTCTTCTCAAAGATGTAGCCACAAAAAGTCGACTAACATCTACTGCTAAGTGGGATGTTTTTATATTGTATTTAAGTCCGCTGACTAAGTTTTAATTGCAGCCAGGTCACATGTAACACCAGCTGTCAAGAGTACTAAAACCCAAAAATAGTGTAAAAGTAAGCTTTCAGTTATGAATGCACCTGAGATGCGCACCTCTGTGTATTTACTATAAATAAGTTTTCATTAGAGGCCTTACTCATCTACCGCTAAATGAAGAAATGGAGCAGCAAATGCTAATAAAACTTGCCCAACGCCGTTCCTACTCTCCCAGAATTGATCCAAGGTCCTTTATATTTTGTGCTAATACTGAACGTGATAAATTTCTAAAGAGCGTAAGCTTTGTTTGAATGAATAGTCACTCTGGTCGACTTGTCTTTGACAACTGTGCTCCTCGCTTCACATCACACGGCAAAGGGTTAGGGTTCGATTCCCTGCCAGGTTAGAAACACTTGCCACGTGTTTTCCTTACACCATGTTGCCTATGTTCACCCATCAGTAAAATTGTTACGCTGTGGAGTTAGTCCGACTGGTGGTGAGTCGCATCCTGGGGCACTGACTAATTTGACCCGAAATCTGACATAATAAGCGGCTTCTATATAGTAAGATATGTCACTGATGTCAGCTAGGCCTGTATACCTTTTACATGTACTTGTATTAAATAATGATAATTATTATTATTATTATATTATTATATTATTTATTTATTAAAATTAATATAAAGGTCAAAAACGCGGGAAGAACAAAAGCCATAAATAAATTGAAAGAAACCCAAATATTTCTTTTCTTATGGCAAATCAGTCACTGAACAACATCCAGCATTGGGCACTCGACTTAAACGGGATGGGTCCTACACAGAAGATAGGAATGATATGATGAGCTACTGATAGTCCCAGTATGACTCGTTTTTTTTAGGGAGCCGCTAACCAGACTGAGAGTCGAAGACCTAAATGAATTTTTATGAGAGAAACAAATTTCGTAGACTCGAACCTAATTTGATATTATCGTGACGCCAAATGACTTCGAAAAGGCGATAAATATATGCCGATGCACTCTGCCCAGGCACAGACTCATGAACTCGATGTTCACCAAAACGCGCAGAAACCCCTATCACATGTGTTTTTTAAACATCCATGGAGAAGGTGAGCATGACACATGGGGACGACCCCACAGATCCAAAAAACAAGCAGACATCGCCCGCACTCCACAAAGGGGGCATGAAGCAATAGCAAAAAAACTACAGACCGATACGCTAACGTCCCATATCATAAAAGAACTATGAAAGGTCTCAGAAGGCAAGATCGCCACCCATCTAGATACCCATGCAGTTAACCCAGAGTAGCATGGGTTTACAGCAGGTCGTGCCTGTCTTCCCAACTACTGGACCACATGACAAGGTCCAGGTGATGGCTCTAGAAGACAAAACGCAGATGTAGTATACACAGACTGTGCAAAAGCCTTTAACAAGTGTGACCATGCGTAATAGCGCACAAAATGCGTGATTAAAGGATACATAAAAAGTTGGTAGATCTATAATATCCTTACAAATAGAGCATCAAAGAGTAGTAGTAAACAGAGTAAAAGTCTGAGGCGGCTACGGTGAAAAGCTCGTTCCAATCAGGCACAGTAACCGCTTCCATCCTGTTCTCATCCCATATCTGACATGGACATGGAACTTAACAACGCAACCGGTGTCTTCTTTGTAGATGACACCCGAATTTGCATTGACAATGTCCTCCAATGAACACAAGCAAGACTTCCAGACGGACATCTAACCGGGGAAATATGAAGTTCAATGATGAAAATTTCAGTTTATTCCGATTTTGGAAAACTGAGGGAAATAAAACTATATTGTTGCATAAAACAAATTTCCCAAACAAACACAGAGCGAAAAACCCCAACGTAAGAGGACCTGGGAGTGATCATGTCGGAAGATTTCCGCTTTCAAAGACAGTACGCTTTGTAGTCATATCTGCTGGATGGATAATGAGAACCTTCAAACTAGAATACCAGCACATGACATTCCTTTCAGGTCGCTTGTTCTATCTCGGCAGAACATTGCTGCAACACTAGCAGCACCCTTTCAAGGCAGTAGAAAATGCTGTGACGTACAAAGTGTACAAAGAATCATCACGGGCACACACAACTGCAATAAAACACCTCAA